AGAAAGAAAGAAAGAAAGAAAGAAAGAAAGAAAGAAAGAAAGAAAGAAAGAGGGAGGGAGGGAGGAAGCTGAAAGTTATCTGAATGGCTACTAAGGGTCTCTGCACAAATTGCTGATCTTCTTAGAACCATGAGAAAGCTGTATTTTCTCTCTGTCCTTCCAGAAGACAGCTCCAGAGGAGCAGGAACCCATCCCAGACTTTGCCCAAGTGACTCTCCTAGACACCCTTCAGCCTACAGTGAGCTGGGCACCCTGTAGGCACTAGAATTTGTCAATGATCTTGGTCAAGGGCGCCCAGCCACACTCGGGGAGTCGTTTTGTAAATGAGCTCATTCCATGGGACCGCTATCCAGGGAGGTGGTACTGAGCAGTTGAGGACTGCCGGATTTCTGGAATGTTCCAGCAACTGGCTAATGAATGGATGTCAGCCCATGACTGGCATTCCTAGCATCTGCCCTGTAGCTGCATGTACTGTGTGAATTTGCATGGATGGATCTGCACACACACACACACACACACACACACACACACACACACACACACACACACACCGCTCTGCAGGTCCATGGAGCCTCATGCAGCCCATGGGAGTCAAGCTACGACACCCATGAGTTCCAGAGATCAAAAACTAGAGCACGGAGCAGGGCCCTGGCCCGGCAGCCTGAAGCCTCTCCTGGCAAGTCCTCCCTCTATACCTTTCCTGGATCCCCACAGAAAGCCTCTCCTGCTGGCCCCAACCTCTTTCCCAGTCCTGGAATTAATAAAACTCCAAGCAGACTGTGGTTTGCAAGTCTGCGAGCCAGTTCCTGCCCGCGTCACTACTCCAGGAGGAGTGGGGCCCAGCTCCCCTCCAAGCACCCCTGCTCTCCTCCACCTAGGACTAGGAGCCTCAGGCCCTGCCCGTGGCATAGTCCCTATTCCCACCGAGGGACGGACTGGGGACTTCGGGCTCTTGAATCTTCTGTACACCCAGGACATCTCCAAAGAAAGACACTACAAAAGGGTACACATGTGCTGTGCAGTTTCTGGGTGATTCTGTGTTCTCCTTCGATTGCATCTCTCTCTCTCTCTCTCTCTCTCTCTCTCTCTCTCTCTCTCTCTCTCTCTCTCTTTGTTTGGGGGGTGTTAGCTGTTTTTTTAAAGAGTTTCATGTACCCCAGGCTAGCCTCAAATTCACTACACAACAAGGAGGACTTTGGACTCCTGATCCTCCTGCCTCTACCTCCCTGGTGCTGAGGTTCCAGGAGTGAACCACCACACCCATATTGCCATGTAGCCCAGGCTACCCTGGAGCTTGCTATATAGCTCAGGCTGGTATTAAACACTCTATCCTCCTGTTCCAGCCTCCCAAGTGCCATGCATGCCCAGCTTTGAGATGATTCTCCTATCATGCCCTCCCCGCTCTCCAAAATTCTGGTGATAGCATGGGAAAGGGAAAGACTGCCCAGAATCTCAGGTTGACCCAGTAGAGACTCCATCGAGCCGGACAGCTACACCACAAACAGGACAGAACTTCCAGATCTAGCTTCAGCCTGCGGTACCGTCGGCACCAAACGGATACAGAACGCTTCTAGGCACAGGGCAGAAACATGCGCCCACACTTTCTTCGTCTTTACAATCTTCTCCCAGTTAAGGGTAACAGACATCAGCTAACATGTGAGGCAAGCGAACGATGTGGAGTTGTCCCCTAGAAAGTGTTAAAACTAGCTGCATATCGTGGTGCACACCGGTCACCCCCGACACTCAGGAGGCTGAGGCAAGAGGATCAAGGCTAGTCTGGGTTGTATAGTGAGACTGTGATCGTGTTGAAGGAAGGGAGGGAGAGAAGGGAGGGAGGGAGGAGGGGGAAGGGAGGGAGAGAAGGAAGGGAGGGAGACCAAAAAAAATGGCAGAAAAAAGAAAGAAAACCAGAGACCCAAAAATCAGCCCAGGTCCACCTAAGCCACCTGCCTTTGATCTCTCCCCTCCTGGCCACTGCTGTCAGACCTGCAGACTGCTCTAAGCCCTGTACTAGACAAGATATCTTTGTCTAAAGTGGCCCTCTGAGCCACTTCCTGAAAGAGAAAGACCCCAGGTCACACGGTCAACTTTTTCCTCTGACCAACTATTACCTAGAGCAAGCAACCATCTCCGTCTCCTATCCTCTGGCACCCACATTTTCTTCATACATGCAGGGGTCTTCCCCTACCCTTCCCCTGACCTACCCCTTTACATCCCTAAAACCTCCCAGGGTCCCCATATGCTCAGGGATCGGGTGGCCAGGGCACTAAACTAACTACTAGCTTTCCTGGTGGGTGCTTTCTGCTGGTTCAGCAAAGGCTGCCCCCTTCTGGCCATCGGAGGAATAGCACCCTCAAGCCTTCCCAGAAGCACCAAGAGAAGCCGGTGTCCAGATCCAGGCTCTTAGATTGGACAGGTGGTGAATAAGCAATAATGAGAATACTGAGTTAATAGTCGTCTGCACAGAGCTCCCACCTCCATGCTTCCCACCAGGCACTTAGGATCCAGTTTGACCTCTGCTGGACACTGTTTTGCTCAGGGATGGTGCAAAGCTATGCCCATGGCCCGTGCAGAGTCCACCAACACCTTATGCAAGGATCATCTCGGAGCTCTAGGGAGACGCTGAATACATGGCTGTCACTCCCAAGCCGTTCACCTGATCTCAGCCCCTTGGTTTCTGCAACCATAGACCCTAGACTTACTCAACACCCTTTTCCTGGCTACAAACAGATGGCTAAGACCTTGTCTCAACCACGATGAACCAGATCATATGTCAGGGTCTCTATTCTGTCCCCAAAATGCCCCACAGTGCCACACTCATCTGATTTTTCTCTCCCAGCCAATTCTGCCTGCAGACTCTCTATAGGCAAACGCCCCTTAGCCCCAACCACCTTCCCAATCCAGTTTTGTATAAGGTCTGTCTTTAGCTAGGCTTCGGGGTGTCGGGGTGTCTGTAGGGCTAGGGTGGGAGCTGAGGCGCGGGACAGCTGGCCTGTGTCCCCACACTGGGCCTGGGGCCCAGGCGGAGGGGCGGGGGCCTGGCTACTCCAGCCTTGGCTAGGGCTGGGATTTTTTGGCCGGGCTGCCTGGGCCCTCCCTCCTGCTTCCTCTCCAGAGGGCTGTCCTGGCAAAGGCCCCCTCGCACTTTCTGGCGGGAACAGGGCCAGGAGCAAGCAAACAGCTACAGAGGGAAAGCGGGAAAGCGATGGGGGGAAAGCCGCGCACGCGTGTGTGTGTGTGTGTGTGTGTGTGTGTGTGTGTGTGTGTGTGTGTGTGTGTGTGTGTGCAGGAAAATAGACCCATGG